TCTACAATGACAAAAATCAAAACTGATTGCTTGTTGATTTGATATTCAAATCATTATGGTCTAAAATGTCTTCACTGGCTATGAGTTATGCTGTCTTGTTCTCCTCATACTACTGTATATTAATGATCTGCTGAAGAACGTACACTGATCATTAATGAGTGTCTCAATGTTTGAAATGAAAACAAAATTTAGAAATTATTAATTTCTTATTATCTTTATCAACATTCATGAACTATAAAACCTAAAGAATTTTGTAAGGAATATCCCCCCCCCCAAATGTTGTTTATTTGTAATCCTCAAAAATTCTAATATGCAAATTTTACCAAAAATAAAAAGGACTTAACAATTTTCTTTTACAGGCGGCTGGTAATGCTGTGAAGAAAGCATCTGATGCATTGGTGCAGGCAGCCCAACAGTCTCAGGACTTTGACGGTGATGACAATGAACTCACCATCAATAAGCGTATGGTAGGAGGAATAGCACAGGTATGTGTATAATTTGTACAATTACTCTATTATTCTTTTAATTAGGTTTTATAGATCTTGAGGATGAAAAAGAAAAACTTAAAAGTTCATGTTAATTAGCAAAGAGGTTTAAAAGATGAATTTTTATAGAGCCTTGGATTTATCTATATTCTCCAAGAAAGACCAAAAACCCTAAGTTAATAATAGAAATCAATAAAAATGATCTTGTGGTCAAAAAAAAAAAAAAGAAAGATCCTATTTATCTTGTCAGTCTTTTTATGGTATATAAAATGATTATATAAAACAGCAACCATCTGAAAAAAGCAGTTTGAAATTTTTTTTTTAACAAATCTGAATAGACTAGCAGATATGTCATTATACTAGGATCTGTTAAATCAGTTGATACAATGAATGCATAAAAGTATTTACATTTTGCAAAGTATTTGTAGAGAAAAAGTTTCCCAAACACTTTCTCTTTGGTTTAGTTTCTTGTTTTTCTTTTTCTTATCTACAGGAAATTATGGCTCAAGAAGAAATTCTTCGAAAAGAAAAAGAACTTGATTCTGCCAGAAAGAAGCTGGCTGAAATCCGAAAAGCTCGTTACAAAGACAAAGGTCCCGAAGATGGGGATTCTTCATCATCATTCTAAGTTAGGGTACACCATTTCTCTTGAATTCCCTCTTTTGGTGGTCAGACCACCACCACCTCACCTTCCTTTGCTACTCCCCCCCCAATCCCATGAATAATAACACACAGATTTAAAACCACTGTCTTTTTATTCCTATGTGCTTATAAGCATCCTCTTTCTTTTCCCTTTTTCTTGTCTCTCTCTCTCTCTCTCAACCCTTCACATGTTTACTTATTGTTGATTCAAATTCACATCTTGATGGTGCTGTCATATTTTAAACAGGTTTCCACTGCTTGGCTTGCTTATCATAGCAAGGCCAACAGTTGAAATGAGCAAAGATGAAATAAAACACATTTTTAAATAAAAATGATTTTTTTTGTGTATGAATATAAAGTTTTAGGGGTGGGGAAACTTAAAAAAGACCCAGGAAAAACAATTAAAGACTGATATCTTATTTGACAATGTCTTCTGTCAAAATAATTTTATGAGTTGGGTGGGAGGGTTAATAAATCATAAAGAGATTTAAAATATAAAAAAAAAAAAAAACGGAAGGAAAAAAAAAATAATTTACAACAACAAAAGAAAAATGTACATAATTTTTTTTTTCCTTTCTTTTTATATTTTAGTGTTTTTTGTTGTTTTTCTTTCCCTAAATACAACAGACTAAAAGCCCTTTATTCAATAACATGTGAGGTGATTTGTTTTGTTGTTTTTCACCCACCTGACAACTGGTGATTAGCTAAAATGGTGGCCGAGTTATCTACTTAAAAAAAGAAAAACTTATTTTAATGACAATTTACTCCAAGTGAAAATAAAATGTATTCCTATTTAAGTGGAGAAAATTTTTCTTTCACTTAAAGATGAAGACACAGTCTGAACATTCTTTGCACAAAATGTTCTCATTCCATAATTTAAAAGAAAAAAAAAATTTTAAATTGCTTGTCCTATTTTCTTGTTGCCATTCTGTTCCTTAACCTGGGATGTATTTGAAAACATCAGAAAACAATGCTTTCAATGCTCATTACATACAAATGTGTTATCTAAAAAAAAAAATAGACTTGGGTATTTTTATTGCCTTTATCTATTTTGCTTTCCTTACAATTAAATTTTAATTCACTAACCACAATAATCCTGATGACTATTTAGACGTGGTGTTTGATGTAGGCGCTTTGAGAGATTATAATTCCTTTGGCAGACAATGAACAATATTTACTCTTCCTTACATCATTGGTTCAATTATTGTTCACTGTAGAAGAACTCATTTCACTAAGTCTCTTGATTTATTCATGTTTCTCCTCTTGTGTTGGATTTTGTCAGATGAATTCTAAATCTGCAATAAATGAAATATATTGATTAACACTGTTGGGAGGATTCAGTTGAAGGCACTAATTTTTAAGGGTTCATTAAATGCCTTCTATTATCTTCATTTATAATATCAATTTTGGGATTTTTTTTTACTAAAATAAGATTTTCTTTTTGCCCTACATAATGTACATTTTATTTATATATATATATATATATATATATATAAATAAAATGTTGATGTTACTTGAAATTAATTCTTGGCCCATTTCTCAAACTTAACATTTGTAAAGGGCTACTCTTATTTTTTTTTTCAACTTCCTCCCTCTTTTTGCAATGAATAAAAGAAAAAAAGGTTTGAAAAATAAAAAAAAAAAATGATTCAATTATTAAATTATCTGGACGCCATTTTTATAATTAAATTTAATTTTCTTTCACTGCCTTCTTAAAATGACGTTGAAGTGAAAGCATTTGGGGCTCTAAATTAACTAAAAGGATTTCTGGCATATATATAAAATTCACTTCAATGACAGTTAAATCCATTTTAAATGTCTTTTTGATAAATCACTTGGTCGATCCTGATAAGGAGACTGACACTAAAAAAATGGATCTGGATTTTGTTAGAATGTTTTGCGATGAAACATTTCTAAGAGTTAAGTCAACAGAAATAATATTGAGCAGAATTTCAGGAATCGATTCCAGTTTGTCTCTGCTTCAATTGATTACTTGCTTTTATCAGTGCATGTGTTCAGTTCAAAAACAAACGGTTTCACTCTTTTAAATCAATAAAGAAGACATTACTAATCGGGGTCTGTAAATGAGGTTGTGTATTTTCCATTATTAAAGCAGTTGGTTGCTATTTTCTTTGGCTGACTGTGCTATCCCTAGCTAAAAATCTCCACCTGCCTTTCTTTTTGCCTGTGTTTGCTTAACACATTTATCAACATCAAAATAAAAACAAATTATAGCTGCCAGTTTAAAACGAAGACAGTTGGCATGTTCATTTTCATGGAAACACAGTTGAGAAATATTTGTTGTATTTTCTACTGATTGAGTTGAGTTTTGAAATTTGCCGAGAACTTGGCAAAATCAGGTTTTGGAAGAAAAAGAATGAAAATAAACTGTTAGGAAAAAAATCCAATTTTTTTTTTTTTTTTATTTTAATGTGAATAATCAAATATTTTAACATCCGCATTAAATTTGAGTTTGACTTTCTGTCATTTGATCAGAGAAATTAAACTAAAGTTTCTCAAAAGAAAACAGCCATCTTTTATTGATCAAATAAATGTGATTTTTTTTTTTTTTTTTTTAAATGAAAAAATAACAGATACACAAAGATGTTAATTTTTCTGATAACACCCCCACTTAAGCCTATCAGCTCAAAGTGTAGTATCTGTCTTTGTTCAATAAATTATGTACAAAACAATATTCATGTTATATTTAAAGAAAAATAGCCAATGTCTAAAAGTATAAATTTTTATGTTGTAGTTTTTCAGCTATTTATGTTGACTTATTTTTAAGCAAAAGACGGTAATTGTAAGATGCGGGGGGTGGTATTGATTTTTTTTTTTTTTAAATCTCCACCACTCACCCTCTACCACTTTTTTTTTTTTTTTTCCAATGCAAACCATGTTAACCTTTGAATCACAATCTTTCCTTTCCCCCACCCCCCTCTTGGCTGTTAATGACATTGTGTTTTGAAACATTCGTATTGACATGTGAATATGAATAACTATATTATGGAAACCAAGGATTGACTCTCTTTATACATTTTGGCTCACCATTCACAGATTCTACACCTACAAGAGCAACAATTGAAACTAGTTTGAGTGTTTGTAAAATCCTTGAAAATGTATATACATTAAATAAGAATAGGTACCATGTTTATCCTATTTTGAACTTTCATTATATCAATCTTATTTCACTTTCAGAAAAAAGTGTTGTGGCTCTTCAGGCTTAAACCTGAAAAAAAACTAATAAATCAAATATTATATATCTCTGAGGATAAGAGGACATCTGAATTATCCACTACCACCCCAATCTCCTCCTCCTGCAATAATAATAAAAAAAAAATTGTACACAGAGTAGAGGCCATGTCCAAAGCATGTGTACAATTTTGACAATGATAAACTAGACAGATTTTTTTTAATCTACCAAAAATCAACTAATTGGATTTCAGTAAAATTTTTCAGTATTTATTTATTTGTTAAATGTTTTGTAAGAAAAAATTCTGGAAATATTAAATCAAGTTGATGAAATCTTTCTTTTCCCACACACCCATTTAATTTTATGATAAAATCTCTGTAAAAAAAATATTTACATTTCTATAAAGATAAGTCCGTGGTTTTTTTGTTTTTCTTTTTAGACTTTTCAGGGGAGGGTGGATATTTTAAATTTATTTTCAAAAATTTACTTAAAAAATATGTTTTTTAATGTTTTCAAATTCTTTATTATTCTCTTGGACACTTGTTGTGAAACTTGATTTTATTAATAGATGTCAACAGGTACAAATCACATCTCTTCTCAAACTTGGTTAAATCACTACAAATTATGATAGTTTACATATAGCATTTACCTTATATGCCAAACAATTTACAGGTAATACA